TTCTGCCACCAGGACTACCCAAACCATGGCTTTAAGGCAGGCATGAAGGTGGAAGCAGTGGACCTGATGGAGCCCCGGCTCATCTGTGTAGCCACAGTGAAGCGTGTGGTCCACCGTCTCCTTAGCATCCATTTTGATGGCTGGGACAACGAGTATGACCAGTGGGTGGACTGCGAGTCTCCAGACATTTATCCTGTGGGGTGGTGTGAGCTGACAGGCTACCAGCTTCAGCCACCTGTTGTTCCAGGTGAGGGAAGATTTTACTGTGGTTTCTAACACTAGAGGAAAAGGTTTCCCTCTTCCTTCTCTGTGAGTGGCTCCTCCTTTTTTATGGGCCTTGTAGGGAGGAGAAAATGGCCTCTTTGGTTTGTGCTGGCTACCATAAATCTTCTTGCTGCCACACACTCTAGTAGCTGGCAGAGAGAGGAGTCTGGTGGGGAGAAAACGGCTTGAGATTTGAGGTTGGCTCTGTTTTCCCTCTGTTTCCCCACCTACGCACCAATAGAGTATTGCTCCTGATGACGTTGGGTAGAGTTCCAGGTGGTCCTATCCCTGCACAGCTCCTTTTTACTAAGCCTACCTACAACCTCAGCCAGGTAGCAGGGGGAGCTTGGCCCCTGCTCCCTTTTCTCATCAATTTTCTGGCTCTGTCTTAAAAGGTAAGAGCATCCCTCTCAAGAGTTTATTCCTTCCCTTCTCACAAGGAGGCCACTGCCTCACCTTTTCAGTTGTTTTCCTTCTTCTCCCAAGGTACAAACCTTGGTTCTTTACTGCCCCTGCCAAACCTCTACTGGGCCTCTCTCCCCTGTGCTGCCCCAGCCTGCTCCTGGGCCCTCGCCTGGAAGCACAGACAGCAACTACACCAGAGCCATGCTTTCTCCTCAGCTGCTTGTCTTGGGAAGAGGGCGTTAGCTTGGGGGGACGGGTGTATCTTGTTTCTCGCTTATGTCACTTCATCCCAGTTACCTACTGGTTATGGGACTTGGCTTTCGTTTCCCTCTCGTCTCCATGACAGAGCCCACAACTCCAGCGAAGGCCAAGGAGGTGCTCAAGAAGAAGAAGAAACCCTATGGAAAGAAGAGTGAGTGATGTTTGGTTAATGCCCTCCCGCTCGCTCGCAGGCTGGGCCCAGTTAGAGGAACCCTGTCCATGTCCTTTCAGAGCAGGAGAGAGAGGCCTTGTCTTGCTGTGGATGCCCTCACTCAGCTGTGGGTTTGACAACACAGCTTCATCCTTCTTAACTGCCCTATTACCTAAAAGAGCAGAGAGCTCTGTGTGCGGGAAGGATCTGTTTCGCAGTCTACTTTCTGTTGGCTGAGGTATAGATGGCGCTTGCTTCCAGGCGTGAGGTTGTGCTGCTTTCCCTACTGTGTCTGTGGATGGAGGGAGATTGCTGCAGCTGAAGGGTGGCTGGAGAGCAATCTTGCCTGCTTTGTGCTGAGGGAAAGAAGGCCTTAAGATGGCTGAAGAGGCCAGTAGCGGGGCTGCACCATGTTACTGTTTAATCTTGTTGTGATCATTGTTGCAGTAGCTGTGGCAAATCATGAGTAGACAGACAAATTCCTTCCTGGGGGGTGGAGAGGAAAGGACATATAAAGAATTTAAAGACAAGCTAAGTAAAAATGTCAGTTAAAATTGAAATTATTAATGCTACGATGTCCATGCCTTGCAGTCAACATGCCCATTGCCTAGGACTAGACCCAGACAGGTAAGCAAAGCTGACTCCAGACTGATTCCAACAGGACCTACTCTTTGGAAGTTAAGCACACGCTGAAGTGCCTTTAATGGAGAACCTGGAGGAGCGTATCTTGAGATGATAACTGTAGAGTTTTTCTCCAGTAGGGCATTTCTGTGGAGTAACCAGTTGACAGCTAATGACCATGTAGCTTGCCGGTCAGTTGTGATGGTCCCTGGCCTGTGGTTTCTCAGTGGAGCAGGGTTGCTGATTTTCCAGGGAAAAAGAAACACGCTTTTCCCCATGCTCTGTTATCTCTTTGTTAAGGAAAAAAGTTACCGGTCAAAACCCGCAACATCAAGCAGACCACCAAGAAGCCACCTGCTCCGAAAGCGAAACGAGAAGCAAAAGCTGCCAGCAAGGCTTTGCCAGAGCCATCACCTGATGAGAGTAAGGGAGTGAGTTACTCTAGCCAGCAGGCACATGCAGCTCTCTCACGTACACCCTGCATACCACCAGCCCTCCCAAGGCCTGTGCTGCTTCTTGGCTATGTAGTCAGGGAAAGGAGTCTTCACTCCTTCAGAGACAGATGGAGTGGAAGAAAGCCCTTGCCTGCTTTCCCTGGGAAGGGTTGCCTCCTGAGAAGGTGTGGTGGCACCAGTACAGCTAGATATCTTGATACTGCTGATAGATGCCACTGAGGGCCTGGCTGCCCTACTGAGAAGTCTGGTTGTGTGAGGTCTGTTTGGGTGGAGAGACAAGATGGACATGTCCAAGGTGTGCTGTCACATCCCAGTCCCTCTAAGGGCTGTCACAGCATGTGAACACAGTCTGTTGTGCTGACCATCAGGAGATGTGGTGACCAGAAAAGCATCTGGCATCTGGGTCCCCTGCCACTCCTAGTGGGTATTGGGGAAGATGGTTGGGTGAAGCACTTTGCACACATGGGGATGAAGCCTTACGAAGGTTACTGTTGCTCAAAGAGGGTTAATTTCCCCTTTGTGGACCCAGGCAGGTAGAGAATGGACCCCCAATGGAACCCCGTGGTTCCCTCGGAGAAGCTGTTGTTGGGATTAGGCAGCTGAATGCTGCCAGGGTTTAGTCCCATCCTGATTGCTGTTGTGATCATGGATAGCTTTGTGCTGGCAAGACATGGCTGCCTACAGTAAGAGACCCTCAAGAAGTGGGCTGGAATTCTGGGGCGTTTTGAGCATATGCATGAACAGATCGGGTTCTGGGGTGCTGCAGGTAGAGTGAAGCAGAATGAGCTCATTTTACTTACTTATTTTCCTCTCTCTGTTTCTTGCTAGTCATTGCCGTGCAGGTGAAAGAAGAAACAATCGACCCCTCAATAGCAGAGTTTGAAGATACAGAGCTTCCTGTTCCTATCAGCAGCATAAAGCAGGAGGAGGTCACAGACTGATCCTGGAGCATCACCCAGCTGCCCACAGCAGCCTGTACTTCACTTTTCGTAGCTCTCTGGGGAGAGTCCCAGCAAAGGAAAGCAGGAGACTATGAGGGCCTTCCCTCTTTGAGGCAGATCACCCTGCAACAGCACGACTCTGCTTTCCTGGTGTGCAAGAAAACTTCCCCCAGATTTGTAATTTTAATCCCTGGGAGCTAGACTCCAGAAAGGCCACAGGCACACTGAGGAGTGTGACCAGGCTGGGGTCGCGTGTGCCTGGCTTTGGAGATGCCTTTGAGCAGGAGTTCTCAAGGGGGAAGGAGGCTGCCAGAGCACAAAGGGGCAGTTTGGGTTCTTGGCTGTGGCTGGAGGTGGTGAATTGCAGTCCAAGATGATGTGTGCAGGTCACATGTGTCAGGAAATTGGATGCCTTTATAGGACATCAGTACTGTGCTCCCTCTTCTAAGCCCTGATACCCTTGAGAAAGCACAGGAAGAGTAGAAAGAGGTGAAAAAAAAAACAACCAAAAGGGATGATGATGGCTCTTGGGGGAGCAAGAGACCCTTTTGCGTGTCATCATTCCTTGGTTTTGAACCCAGCACTGCAGAGGACATGGTGCACAGTCTGAATTTTAAATTTTTTTAGCAGTCCTACTGTAAACACAGTCTACAATCTGGACCTTAAAGCCCTGTGAATTAAACTCGAGGAAGAGGCCAAAGGTTTGTTTATTTCTTCCGGGCCACCAAAATACAAGGTTTTAGGGTAGAAGAAGAGGGCTCTAAGTGCATCAGTAGAAGTCAGCAGTGGTTTGGGTTTGGGTTTTCATGTTTTTTGAGGGATGCAGTAGCATTTTTCTGTGCACTTGCTGCTGTTAACTTGCCAGTTCTGCATAAGGGCTGAATATGACATTAGATAACTTAAAGCAAGGGATGTCATTTCCCATTTTAGGGCAAAACAGTAATATTCCTCTCTCCAGACAGGCCTCAAAGTTGAGAAAAAGCAGAAAGATCAGTATGGCAACAGTGAGGAAAACCAGTTTTAAATCTGGAGCAGGTCCCTGTGAGCTGTCTGCAGGTGAGGATGTGTCTGGTAGTGCCACTGCAGGGCAAGCAAGTGCCTCCTTATATCCTACAGGGACAGCCTTGGTCATGGAATAGCTGCCTTGGCCATGCTCCCTCAAGCTCCAGGCGAGAGCTTGTCATGCTAAAATAGTCCCTGCTTTTCACGGCCAAAAAGAATAAATGTTGGCAGGCTGTCTACAGAGCATGGGGTAGAGACTGGGGGTGATAAACACAGTCTTCCTCTTTTTTCCCTTCTAAAGAGGGAAACAAAGCCTTTCACCAGAGAGGAAAGAAAGGGCTGTGGGGCAGTAATAGAACACAGGTGGGAGAAGTGGGGAGGGTCTGTGTCAAGGCAGGTGTAAGATGTGCCATCTTAGCCCACCCCTAACTGCCCCCGGGAGAGGGAAACCGTGGTGGGGTGAGCATGGTAGGGGAGGGAGGTTTATCAAAGGCTTTTGATGGGGCCTCCCTTCCCACCTGCCTCTGGCTGCTGCCTCTCCCAGCACCTCTGCCTCTTATCACCGACTTGTCATAGATGGCTTAATGCAGTGGCAAAGCCATTGCATATTTCTCTTGTCAAACAGCTGGGATTGAGAGCCAGCTTTCTTCATAGGATGGTAATTTCCAAATGCCTTTAGCTTTCTTAGATTCAGATTAGATATTGGGTAGATTAGATATTAAGAGATATTCACTATGAGGGTGGTGAGGCGCTGGCACAGGTTGTCCAAAGAACCTGTGGCTACCCCATCTCTGGCAGTGTTCAAGGCCAGGTTGGATGGGGCATTGAGCAACTTGGTCTAGCGGAAGGTGTCCCTGCCCATGGCAGGGGGTTGGAACTGGACGAGCCTTAAGGTCCCTTCCAATACAAACCATTCTGATTCTATGATTCTTTGGGTTTTTTTTTGCTGTAGCCAGGGTAGTTCAATGGCTAGATGAGTCTGTCCTTTTAAAGCCTTCTCAATCTGAACAAAATTCTGACTTTAAAATGGATCTGAGGCATCCCAACCTGGCCTGCCATGAGGAGTAAGTTGGCCGCATGCTTATGATGGGATCAATTAAGGGATCAGTGATCCCATTCAATCAACAGGGTCACTGATCAAATTTTGCAGGACATAGAAAGGTTTTGTTATGCTTTAATTCTGAGGAGCTGCTGTGGGAATTTAGGCTATGTTTTCACTCATGATAATTTTTGTGTTTCCTGCTCTCAAGACCCAGGCCTGTGCAGGATCTTTCACTGGTGCCGTTTGCAGTCCCACTCATAAAAACAAAATGAAGCTTGTGGATTCCAGCTTTCCCATATGGCTGGAGGGAGCCTCAGGAAGAAAAATCAAGGATTTGTCTTTGTTGTTCAAGTCATCAAAGCATGCTGCAAATACTGCAGAAGCTTTTTGCACCAGGTCTTTCCAGAGTCATGTCTCTGTGTCCTGCAAAACCAAATGCTTCGTGATGTTTTGGCAATTGAGCATCACTTTGGTGGCACCAGCCTTTCTCCTTGTTCCATGTTCCATGTTCTCCATGTTGCTCTGGCTGAGACAAGTCTAGAAATCCTGTTGCAGCCTGCACGTTTCCTAAGCTCTGCTCTTCATGAAGCCTCTAGCTGGTGATTTTCCCAACCTCTTTTTCTTGCTGGGCTTGCTTTCAGCCTTGGTCATGTCTCCCCAGCCAGGGCAGGTTTGGAAGGTGGTGGAAAGCTTCACTTTCAGCCCTCTGGCTTCTGTAGGGGACCCACAGGTGGCCCCTACACGGAGGTTGAGTTTTTCGATCCACCTAGAAACATGGCAGGACATCAGGGAAGGGAACAGGATGGGGCAAAGGGAGAGATGAAACTCAGTGCCTGTGAGTGGGCACGGAACACTTCAGAGCCAGGCCATGTTGCTCAGGGTCTCACCTGGGTGACATTTGAATACCTGAGTATGTGCCTACGGCAGCCTGTGACTGCTTTCCCTGTGCCAGGAAAGCACAGGCTACTTCGATCCTTGCACACAGACACATGCTCCGTCTCACCACCGTGACCCAAAGCAGCCAGTGTGCCATCCGCCCCCCCCGTGGCAGGGTGCAGATGTCGCCTGGGGCCGTTCCCCCCTCGTGGCACTCACCGGCGCAGGGGAAGGAGCTGGCAGTCACAGTGGAAAGGCACATCCCGCAGGTTGAGGATCTCCAGCCCAGTGAAGTTGCTCATACTGGGGATGCTGCTCATCTTGTTGCCCTCCAGGTGGAGGCTTCGGATCTTGGGGCCGAGGCCAGTGAAGGCACTGGGGGAAATCTGCAGTGAAGGGAGAGAGTGAGTCAGGGGGTGCTGGCAGGTGTAGGAGAGCTGCTCCTCCCCTACCAATTAGCTGGGGGGGGGGTGTGCAAGCCTCTCCTCAAGCTAGTGGTCACGTGAAAGAGCCATTTATAAACAGCAGGGACTGTGAAAACTCAACTGGTTTCAATCACGTTTTAGGACTCATTAGACCCTGTTCAACCTTCTTATAAATAAATAAGGTGACATGCAGGAGGTATTAAAGTGACCCCTGGATGCTCTTAAGCTCATAGAATCAGAGTGGTTTGGGTTGGAAAGGACCTTAAGATCATCCAGTCCCAACCCCCCTGCCATGGGCAGGGACACCTCACACTAAACCATGTCACCCAAGGCTCTGTCCAACCTGGCCTTGAACACTGCCAGGGATGGAGCATTCACAACCTCCCTGGGCAACCTATTCCAGTGCCTCACCACCCTAACAGTAAGGAGCTTCCTCCTTATATCCAATCATCTAAACTTCCCCTGTTTAAGTTTTAACCCCTTACCCCTTGTCCTATCACTACAGTCCTGATGAAGAGTCCCTCTCTAGCATCCCTGCAGGTCCCCTTCAGCTATTGCAAGGCTGTTACAAGGTCTCCACGCTGCTTCGCTTCTCCAGTCAACAGCCCCAATTCTCTTAGCCTGTCTTCATACAAAACGTGCTCTACCCCTCTGATCAACCCCTTGTGGCTCTCATCTGGACCTGCTCCAATGGTTCCATGACACGAGAGTGCTGCTAATACCACTTTCTTGAGAGAATGGAGTTATTCAGAGTAACAGCGAATGAAGCCACAGGGCAGCCCGTAAGAGAAGTATGGCTAGGGCTGGGGGGGGTGGGGAATAGTCTGAATTTCACTGAAATTGGGTGTCTTTCAGGACTGGAGGCAATAAGCCTGTCCCAGAGGAGCTGGAGGCAATGTTGGAGCAAGGCAATGCTCCAGGCAAGCCTGAAGATGCCTCTCTTCCCAGCCAGGCTGTGGAGCAAATCCTGAAGCCTTAGGAGTTTGGAGGCATCTGCTTGAATGCCCCTATAGGGGCCACCATCCCCTATAGGGCAATGGAACAAGATTGGACCAGTGGCTGTGCCCTGCGGTGACTCTGCCCCTCAGGGGTCCCTAGCCCCAGACACCTGCTGCAGGCCCATGTTGTCCAGGTAGAGGTGCTGCAGGCTGGAGGCCACAGGCAGGAACACTCCGTCCCCCATGTACTTGATGGGGTTTTGGGACAGCTTCAGCTCACTCAGGGCAGGCAGGCCCTGCAGGGCTGCCGTGGGCACCTCTGCCAGCTGGTTTCCCTCTAGGTGCAGCTTCTCCAGCATCACGGTGGGAGCCAGGGCGGTGGGAGTGATGTGCTTGATGGTGTTCCCAGCAAGGTAGAGCCAGCGCAGCCCCCCTGCCCCGGCCAGGTCACCCTCTGCCAGCTCCTCAATGGCGTTGTGCTGCAGATGGAGGGAGATGAGGTTGGGCAGGAGCTGGAAGGCCCCTGTGGGCAGGCGGGTGAAGGCGTTACGGTCCAGGTCCAGGTAGGCCAGCTGTGGGGCACCCTCGAAGGCGGTGGCTGCCAGGGTGGAGAGGCGGTTGTTGGTGAGGTAGAGGTAGACCAGGCTCTCCAGTCCCCGCAGCGCCCCAGGGTGCAGCACCCTGATGCTGCAGCTCTGTAGGTGGAGGGACACCAGCTCCTTCAGGCCAGGGAAGGCACCCGGTGGCACAATCCCAAAGGCGTTTCGGCGCAGGTCGAGCAGGCGGGTGTCCCTGGGGAAGCCCTGGGGGATCTCCTGCAGGCCCCTGTTCTCACAGGATCCGTGGTGGACATCGGGGGAGCAGGAGCACCCGCGGGGGCACTGCCTGCTGCCGCCTGCCCTCGGCTGCTCTGACGGCGTGGCAGGGGTGGGGGGCAGCTCGTGGTGGCCGCATCTCATCTCGGGGGGCCTCAGCGAGTCCAGGGTCCGGCCGCGGAGGGCAGCAGGTGCCGCACAGGTCCCCTCCACCTGTACCCGCTCCCTCACCAGCCAGTCGTGGAAGGGGCGCAGGAGGCAGGAGCAGAGCAGGGGGTTGCTGGCCAGGTTGACCCTCACCAGTGCCCCAGGCCCATCCAGGGCCGGCAGCCCCTGCAGCTGGTTAGCGTGCAGGTCCAGCGTGCGCAGCTGGGGGCTGCGGGTGAAGGCTTCGGCTGCCACGTCCTGCAGGGCTGCGTGGTCCAGGAAGAGGTGCTTCAGGGAGGCCATGGCCAGCGCCTCCTCGGCCAGGCAGGTGATGGGGTTATGGCCCATGTCCAGCCGGGTCACCCCGTCCAGCCTGGCCAGGGCCTCGCCGGGCAATGCCTGCAGCTCATTGTGGTCCAGGCTCAGCCTGTGCAGTGCGGGCAGGGCAGCGAAGGCCTCGCTGCCCAGCACGTGGAGGGTGTTGTGGGACAGCCGGAGCCACCTGAGGACCGCCAGGCCCTGGAAGACCATGTCTGGGAGGTAGACCAAGGCATTTGCCCTCAGGTCGAGCACAGTGAGGGACCCCAGATGGCCAAAAGCACCCGGCTGGATCTCCTCAATGCGATTCCCCTCCAGAATGAGCTGCTGGAGGGAGGACAGCCCATCTAGGGACTCCTGGTAGAGGATGGCTATGTCGTTGGAGGCCAGGTTGAGGTAGACCAGCCTCCCCAGCCCTCGGAAAGCCCCTTCCTCCAGCTTCTCCACCTTGCAGCGCTGCAGGTCCAAGTGCGTGAGGTAAGGGGTACCAAGGAAGGCTCCCGCTGGGAGGGCCGTGAAGCTGTTGCCCCGAAGGTCCAGTTTCTTGGTGAGCTGTCGGTCACACAAATAAAACATTGAGTTACCGCAGGGCTGCCACCACCCCCTGCTCCCTGTCCCCTTCCCACCTGCGGGATGGCAGTGGGGACGGCCGTCAGGCTCCCGTTGAGGCACAGGACATGGGCACGAAGGTTGTCGCAGACACAGGGTGTGGGGCAGCGGGCAGCAGCTGTCTCCCCCAGTGCCACCATGAGCAGGAAGAGCCCCCAGGACAGCCTCATGATGGAGGGCACCTGTGGCTGTGGAGACAGGGTGGTGAAACCAGGAGTGTCCCCAAACAGCCGTGTCTACCAGCACCGGCTGCCAAGGGGGCTGTTGCTGTGACCTAGTGGGGCAGGTCTCACTGCCTCTTGCTCTCACACAGTGATTTTACAGGTCATAAACAAGGAAGAGAGTGGAAGAAGGAGAAAAGAAACATTCAGAATGAAGAGTGAAGGGCACAAACAGCAGGGCTCCACTTGGAGACCTGAAGCCTAAATTCCTGAGGGACATTTGGGAGCACCTACAAGGGGCCTGGCAGGAGCATTGGTGTCACCTGTGGGGACCTGGCTTGGAGCAGATACACCCCTACCCCATTTTCTTTGTATAGCTCTAGCATAAAATGGTCTTGATCTGTACAAGGTAACAACATGCCCCCTATGAGAGGCTTGGGTTTTGTGTGAGGCAAGCAGGTATAGCCATTCACAGGATGTGATCACGCTGGCTTTCTGAGCTGCCACCTCTTGACTGCAAACGTCCCCTCTCTTGTCACCCTGGCCACTTCCCAGCCCACAGCTCTGTGCCTCCCCGAGCTGTTCATAGCAGGGTTTGCAATAAATCGCCACTGTTCAGCAGCCGGAAGGAGGGGTTGGGTTTGGCCAGACAGAGGTGAACCCCTGGGGTGGAGGTGCCAGAGAGAGGCCAAGGCTGGGGGGAACACAGAGGGGTGGTGGGGCTGCAGCTATGGTCAATGCACTCCCCCCCCCCCCAAGCTCTGGGGAGCAGAAGCAGTGGGGTCTGCAAGGCTGTAACTCATAGAGCCACATGGTGCCCATCCCCTCGCCCACCTTGGCTCCTCATCCCTCATGGTTCCACCCCCGGTCTGCCCTCCACCCGCCACCACAGCCAGACCCTCCTCAGCCACACACACACACTGGGGCCACCATGCCCCCCGTGCAGCCACCGGCCAGTGTCACCAACGCGATGTCCCCGTGTCAGCCCCCATCCACATGCCAGGCGTCACCTCCCACCCCGTCCCACACACCTTGGGGGTCAACCCACCTGGGGCCTGGGGGTACCTGGACCTCAAGGAGTGGTAAGGAAAGGGAGGAGAGCAGCCGGCTGCCCCGTGCAGCAGCAGCCGAGCGCCTGTGCCAGTGTTTGCTCTCCCTGCAGAAGCGAGAGCTGAAAGGGGCCCGTTGTGTTGCTTTCCCAGCAGCGCTCGCCGCACCGAGCCAGAAACGCAGGAGGAGGAGAAGGAGGAGGAGGGGGGGAAGAAGGGGAGGCCGATCTTGGAGAGAAGGCAGAGAGCCAGCCATCACCTCCCGCCCTGTATCACGGGGGTCCGGGAGCACCAGCACCGGGGAGCCCAAGCCCAGAGCGCTCCAGCACCAGCCCAGCCAGAGCCCACATGGGGTTTGCTCTTGCTGCTGCTCAGGCTTTGCCTTTTCTTTTCCTGCTGCCTAAGTCACAGGAGCTACAGAGCTGCAGGGCAGAAAGGTGACATCCAGCCAAAATGGCAACAGCAGCGGTAAGCCTGAGCTGGCAGGGCTGGCTACAGGGCTGTGTGTGCCTCGTTTACAGCCCTCCCGTCTCCTCATCTTGCTTCTCTGCCTGCTTCCAAGAGGCCAGGGGTGGCAGTGCCTGTGTGAAACACACGTTTGTTGCAGAAGGGCAGGGGGGCCTTCGTTCTCCTCCTTGACTCTCATTTCCCCTGTTTGGCTCTGGGCTTCGTTCCCCCAGGGAACACGAGCAGATCTGCAGCCTGGCAAAAATCTCATAAAAGGGAGAGAAACCTGAGTAAGCCCTTCCCTTGTTCACCAATCACCTCAGCTGCCAGAACCAGTACATCCCATCCTGGTGCCACCTGTGGGTGATGGACATGCTGGATGGCACCTGCCAACCTCCCCACTGCCAGATGGCCAAAGCCTTCCTAGCTGTGGCCTTGGGCTGGCATCCCCTTCATCCCTGCAGCTCCCAGGGTGCTTACTGCTCCCTTGACACAAGGTGACCCAACTGCATCTTTGTGGCACCGCTTTTGTGCTCATCTCCACTCTGCTCTGCAGGGAGGACCACTGGGGATGTAGATCTAGAGGGGATGAATCTGCCTCGGGCTGGCGGCAGTCACCCTGCGCAGCTCAGAGCTTGCACTGAACCACCAAGACCCATCCTGAAGTGGTGGTGGCCTTGGGGAGCGCCACCTGAAGGGAGCAGTGTCTGTTCTGGGTGCTCTGCCTGGTGTTCTTCACCCTGCGCCTACCTGCATGCATGGCTGGCCCTTATGCCCCTCTGAGCTGTTACTAATAAGTTCTGTGCCCTGTGCCCCAGCACTATCCCTGGCAGTGTTCAAGGTCAGGTTGGACGGGGCTTGGAGCAATCTGGTCTTGTGGAAGGTGTCCCTGCCCGTGGCAGGGGGTTGGAACTGAGTGAGATTTAAAGGCCATTTCAAACCTAACAATTCTATGATCCCAGTGCCACCACCTTGCAACACTGCCTCTTCCCCATGCTGGAGGCTGGTTTCTTCCCAGACCTGATGAGCATCACTACGCTCTGCCTAAGGGACAGCGGGGTGGAGCAGCTCTCGCTGGGCACTTGGAGGGGTCTGGGGAGCCTCAACCAGATCCTCTGCTGTGACCACCCTGCACCTCAGTGGAACACCATCTGCCAGCTGATGTGGAGCTACCTGCGCAGCCACCATCGCTGCCCAGCACACCCAGCTCCCCGCCCTGTGGCCCCTCCACCCGTTATCCTGGCCAGGTCCTCCCACCCCTGCATGGCTGACTGAAGGCACCAACACCTCCCTGGCTCTGCTGGAGGACCATGGGGAGGTCGAGGTGTGGAACCAAGTACCCTGGCAGCGAGAACCACGCCTGCCCTTTCCCTAGCCTCCCCCAGGGCTTTTAGGCTGTTCACTTACCCAGCAGTGATTGAAAGCAGAGCTTTAGCTTCTGCCAAGGCTGGAGGGAGGCAGCCAGCCTTTCCTCTCTCTGATGGGGCATGGCAGCAGGCTTGAACTTCCACTTGATGGGGCTTAACCCACCTTTACCAGGCCAGACACTTTTGCTTTCCATGAAAGAAAATGTTTTACCTTTGCTGGTAAGGAGCACAGTCCTATTGTTACCGGTACAGGGTTTCACTGCTCACGCATCATAGAATCAACTAGGATGGAAAAGACCTTTAGGATCATCAAGTTCGACACCCCAAGGTGCTCCATGCAGAGAGCTCTGCACCACCGCTGCCTGGCCGGGCTATGTTCAAATTAAAAATGCTACTGACAACAGCAGTGCTTTTGGGGTCAGATAGTTGCACAAGACAGGCTGAAGCAGTACTGGAATGACCCTGTCTTCCTTCACGGTACTGCTGGGAATCAGTCCTCCTCTGGGATCAACTTCTGCTGGAAATAACAGTTAACAATTCCCACCCTCTTTTTTCCTAATCTTGAGGCATAAACCAATTTTGAGGGACTTCTGAGTCCATGGGCTACCCAGAAGCTACCTGGTTTCTGCAGAGCCTGTAACTTCTATCCTCACACATCCCTTTTTCCTATAAACATCTGACCTTGACACTGAATACCAGGACCAGGAAAATCCTGCTATACTAAGTATTGCTTGCTTTTGAAAAACACTTCGGGATCAGCATCTCAAACTTGTTCTGCTACTATGGCTACTCAAAGCTTCCCGCACACATTCGCCCCACAACCTGGCCCACAGGTCTGTCTGGGAGCAGCAGCACCCCTCTGATCTTCTTTAGCAGGCTCTGTGTATGCACACACTGTGCTCCACCAGACCCACTGCAGATGACCTCCTGTACAGTGTAACACTTTGGCTTGGTCTCTGCATCATGTTCCTTTTCTCCATGACCCTCCTCTGGGGCAGAGGGACATGAAGAGCAGCAAGACACCAAGGAGCCTCAAGAAAAGCTGTGTTCAAGACTTACAGAAAACACAGATTCTTTTATGTCCCAGGTTTGCCCTGAAGCTGATGGCAAAACTTTACAGATTTGCTTGTGCATCAGGCAGGTGAAGGAACGAGCCAGGAATGAGGTGAAAGAGGCAGGGCTCGGCCTGCAGTGACTGAAGCTCCTTCTGTAGGCACAGGTACCTTCACTTCAGTTGGTTTTCACCCATTTGGACACAGAGGAGTTCCCAGCTTCTGTCACAGAAATGGCAAGAAGATGCATTTTGCTCTTACGGCAGCCCTGTTTTAACAAGGGACACTGCTCTCACATGAAGAGCAGCACCTCTTACACCTCAGACTAGACACTGCTTTCCTGAGCCCGATGGGATCACAGACACAAAAACCCTCCCACAGCCATCCCCGTTACATCAGTGGTTGCCCTGAACAGGCTCACAACCTGGAAGAGTTTAAGTAGTGCTTGCAAGCAGGTCTTGCACATACCACATACTGTATTTCAGTGCAGTACCCCAAGCCCTTGTTATTATCCATGCATACCCTAGAGTTGACATCAGCTTTTCCTGCATTTAGGGCAGCTGCAGAACGTATCTCTCACAAGGAAGGGGCACCTAACTCCATTTCCTTGCCTCCTTTCCTGGCACTGGCCCCATTTATACTGCACATTGACTGCAAGGCCAGTTAAGGGAGGTGAATAGTCTTCTCCAAATGAAAACAAGAGAGGGAAGGAACAAGAGGGACTGTAGCAAGAGGACAAGGGGTGATGGGCTTAAAATGAAGCCAAGGAAGTTCAGGTTAGCTAGAAGGAAGAAATTCTTCACTATGCATGTGTCGCGGTTTATACCCAGCCAGACAGCTTGTTCACTCACTCCCCCCTTCTTGCCCTCCCCCTACTCCTGGAGGGATGGAGAGGAGAACTGGAAAGAATGCAACTCCCACGAGTTGAGATAAGAACTAAGTCCAGTAACTAAGGTGTAACACAAATCACTACTGCTACCACCAATAATAATGACAAGGGAAACAACAAGGGAAGAGAATACAACATCTCACCACCTGCTGACCAATAACTTGCCCCCTCCGGCCTCACCAGGCACCAACCGATACCTCCTCCAACCCCACGGTCTTCCAGCCCTTCCAGGTAACTCCCAGTTACCTCCTGGGCATGACGTGCTGTGGTATGGAATACCTCTTTGGCTAGCTTGGGTCAGGTGTCCTGCCTCTGCTTCCTCCCGGCTTCCCTTCCTCCCTGGCAGGGCACGAGGCTTGCAAAGTCCTTGGCCGGAGCAAAACATCAGTGTTATCAGCTCTGTTCCCAGGCCAAAAGTCAAAACACTGCACTGCACCAGCTACCAAGAAGGAGAAAAATGACTGCTACTGCTGAACCCAGGACAGCATGTGGTGAGGCACTGGAATAGGCTGCCCAAGGAAATTGTGAATGTTCCATCCCTGGCAAGGTTCAAGGCCAGGTTGGACAGAGCCTTGGGTGACATGGTTTAGTGTGAGGTGTCCCTGCCCATGGCAGGGGGGTGGAACTGGATGATCTTAAGGTCCTTTCCAACCGAAACCATTCTAGGATTCTAACTCTTTGCTACCTGAAGCGAGAGCTGAGTTGATTCTCAGAGGCTTGAATGAAGAGGGAGCAGGATGAGCCTGGGTGCTCAGGAATTGTACAGGTAGATGCCACAAGACACGCGCAGACCCATGGACAACCCTCCACGCAGACTGAGGGGCATCTGCTGCTACTCCATTCCAAGAAGAACAGCCCAACCCAAGAATGATCAGCACAGCCCTAATTCTTCATACTCTTGCATGTGCTCCGTTTTCAAACACACATACAGAACACACAGTCCCACTGTTTTGTCAAAGGCAGGAGAAAGGGAACACGTATTCCACAAGGATTTTTGTATTAATTTCCAAGCCAAGCCTATCTAATTAGGAAGAGAAGGGAAAGGAACAGGGAAAGGGCAGGAAGAAGGAAGAACACAGGCAATAGCAAAAAAAATTTACAATAAAAATACACTTGCTCCCTAAGCAATGGCCACCAGGGTTAGCCACACCACACAGATACTCCAAGCCACAGCAGCAGGGGAGCAGTATATTAAAATACAAACCAGTCACACACTGCCGTCAACAAATGGGCTTGAAAGAAGTAGCAAAGGGGAGCACAGCTTACCCCTCTGACCTGGCAGCAGCAGAAGGGAGTCAAGCACTCCCCTGGCCTGAAGAAGCAGGAACATAATCGCCTCCCTCCTGCACCGTGCTGAATGCTACCACACAGTTTTCACAGTCCAATAAAATAAAATGCACAACTGGGTTGATCCTGACGAGAGCACTTCTGGGCCCTGTCTTAGTCTTGACAGACCCTTGCCAACACGAGCAAAGTGGAGAACTCCTCTTTTCAATTCATGCAGAGCTCAGAGCAGCACTGACATACTCTAGCATAAGCACCTGCCCTGCAGACCAGGGAGTCACTTCATGAAGAGTAGGAAGAAAAAAAAAAAAAAAAAAAAATCAGCATGATTTGTCCATGTTTATGAAAGCAGAAGGAAGGACAGAGCTACAGGGGGTGGGAGGAGGAGAAAAAGAAAGGGAAAAGAAAGAGGCATGGACAGTGTGTCTGTATGGGCTCTGGGATCCTCTCCCACCATGCAGCTCTTCGTTCTCTGCTGATGACAGTCCTACGAGGAGGGAAGGGCACAGCAGCATGTCTCTTTTCTCCTACAGCTGGTGGAGGGTTTGTAAGAGCATGTGGCGAGCAAACGAGCAGGAGTCAAGAGCACGGTTTGGTCTGTGGAAAGAGGAGAGACACAGATTTAAAATACTAAATTTAAGAACTGCTTTGTATTTGAGTATTTCAAATGCACTGGGCTTGCACATCCAAAAGCCTACATCTTTTCCCTTTGGTTCTCTCTTCTGAAACAATTCCCTCACTGCTGCACAGATCAGTGCTTCCCGCTCAGAGCTTGCTGCGGAAAACACTCTCCTGTTGCTGCATCCAAGTCATGAAGACAACAACCAAGAATCAGATCATTTATTTCCACAGGTAGACAAACCAGCAACAGACTGTTGGCTTCTGCATGCTAGTGTCACATTTTTGGTAGAACACAGCAGGTGAGGGTGGAAGCACTTCTGGCAATAGGTTTTTCATCTAGATCCACTGTTCAGGCCCCAGAACACAAGCCTGTTCCTACTCAAAACTTTACTCATCAAGTTATCTGCTATTTATGACCCAATTTTATCTCTCCCACCATAGCAAAATAACCTTTAATAAGTACTAGTAGTGAGGCCTATTCAATCTGAGAAAGAAGGGTGAGCTGAAATAAAGATTGAAATATCTAGGTAAAAACAAGAAGCAATAGCTGCAGTGCTTGGTTAGGATAGGGCTCCATGTCTGCTGCAATAAAAGCATTGGCAAGGAGAATTAACCCCTTTTATTTCAAGAGCCATTCAATGCCCCACACTGAACAGACACAATTACAACTCATAGTTTATCTTCAAAGTGGCTGGGCAAGGTATTTGAGTCATCATCTTCGGAAGATGCAGCCCTGTTTGCAATGGACAGGTTGATTCTGTCTGGGCAGCTCCCCATTTTTGGAAACAGGGAATCTAAACTGCTGCTGCTGATCACAGCCAAGCTCCCTCAACCTTCACTCCTAATCCCTCTTCTAACACCAAAAGCTTCCTCACTTGCTGTGAAGTTCAACTGCTGACACTCCATGCTACAGACTGTTGAAAGAGGCCAGTGATGGGATCCAATCCCACTGCAAAGAGCAGCAGAACAGCCCCCAAAACCCCTACCACCTCCTCCACTGGGCAGGCAGACATCCACACCCTTTCAGTGTTTCCACCTAAAAGATTATATAAAAGCACATGTGGATTCACAGCACCCTCTTGTGTCCAAAAAAATAGGAAATAAGGCTTGACAGCAGCAGAGTTAAGATGGATGCTGCTCACAATCCATAGCCGTAATTCTTCTTTTTGGATGGAAAACATAACCCACATTACCAAAAATTGTCACAAAAGAAAGGAGAATTACTCCTCCAGCACTAAGCCCTTTACAGCACAAGGCAGCAGAGCTCCAGTCTAGGCAGCTACAAAAAGTTTACAGCTCTAGAAGCCCAAAGGAACCACAATCCTGAAAGAAAAACCTAGGAAGTATATATTAAAAAAAAAAAAACCATCCCTGTTTGCTATAAATGAAGCATGGGATTGACAGTGGAGCAATTTAAGATTAGGATGTGGTTTTACTATGACTGAATTCCAAGGAAAGACAAGGGGTGTAGGTTAATTGAGAAGCTGTGTGCTGGTTTTGGCTGGGGGTAGTTCATTTTCTCCACAGTAGCTTGTAAAAAGCTACATTTTGCATTTGTGCTGAAACCAGTGTTGAGAATACAGGGACATTTTCCTTAGTTCTAGGCAGGCAGAGTCAAGGTTTTTTACTGCTCCGCACCCCACCAGGGAGTGGGCTGGGAGTGCACAAGGCTTTGGGAGGGAATACAGCTGGGACAGCTCATCCCAACTGCCCAAAGGGATATTCCATACCATAATGCAGTGTCATGCTCACCATATAAAGCTGGGGGAAGAGGAAAGGGGCTGGGGGGGGCATTCAGAGTTACAGCAGTCATCAGAGCAATGTGTGACTGAGCCCTGTTTTCCTGAAGATGGCTGAACACCTGCCCAGTGATGGGAACAAGTGAATGAATTCCTTATTTTGCTTTGCTTGCATACACAACTTCTCCATTACTTATTAAACTGCCTTTATCTCAGCCTACATTTTCTCACTTTTACTCTTCTGATTCTCTCTCCCATCCCACTATCAAGCAGCTGTATGGTGCTTAGTTGCTAGCTGGGGTAAAATTACAACATGCTGTTTTAACTGGACTTTATGTTTCTTGAACTGCTGTTGTTCTCTCCAGACAACTGTAAAGAACACAACAGCCACTCTCCTTGTTCCCTTAAGGAAAGGATTTTAAGAAATACATGTATTTATAAAACACAAGTATACTGCTTATATGCAGCACTGACTTCACTATGCTGCACAGGACCTACAGAAAGTTACGATATTACCAGACCATGCAGCAGAAGGGTTTGCAAATCAGAATGCTTCAGCTTCAAGAATTTCATAACACCAGGGACACTGCAGACTTGGTACTAGCACCCTTGCATACCAAAGGCAGGCAGACAGATCTGCTTTCTACTGTGAGAGGCTCTTGACTCACAGAGCTTTTACAGAAGCTTTGAACAATCTCACTTTTCCCTTCTTGTGCTTCCTTCTAGTGAAATACTGCTTCTACATTCAATGGAATCAACTCAACAAAAAATGAGGCCAGACTCCTACTCTTATTTTGTATGTACAGTACAATCTAGAGATAAACATTTACTGAAGCCTGAGAGAGGCCTACATATACACAGGGAAAGGGAGACAAGTCTCTTTTGTAAGCAAATTTATTTAGAAGGACATGTAAAGTTGAGTTATAAGGTTACTCTGGGAACTAGAACCCAACACAAGCAATTAGAATGGTTAAACACACTGAACCAAAGTCCCCTTTCTGTATTCTCAGCTTCAAGTGATTTAAATCCTGTTTGGAGGGCTGAGGTGTGATAAGTGGAACTTGTCATGATCAGTCTGGGTCTCCACATAAACTAACGCCTTATGAAGTCAGTCATTTTCTTCACCTTTTTATTTTAGGGCTGGTATTGGATCCTTATACTGCACATATTTACTTGATCAACACGCAAGTGCACAGGCAGCAGTGTAGGAAACAGCAGAAATAACTGCGATCCATCTGGACAACTTCACAGGGCAAGTTCTGATACTTCCTGCTTAAACCTACAGAGTTGGAGGTAGAGTTGTTCAGCTGGTAAAGCATATGATCCTTGGCCTGTAATTGCCTAATTCCTAGCCTAATGAAGCTAAAGAGATAGAGAGCAAAACTGTTCTACCAGAAGGGCCTCTAGGTTAGGATTCACACCACTAAACAAGCTAGTTACGTGGCTTTATTTTCCAAAACTGACCTTAGCACAGCTGGTTGCTGAACACATACCACCATTACACATCAGCTTTAACAGCTTCAGTCACATCAACACCTTATCACAACTGGCCTGCTTCCAATCCCAGCAGAACTAAGAAAAGACTACCAATATTTAACTGCATCCTTAATCACCCACAGTTCGTGCGGATCACAAGTATTCAATGCCTCTGCCTTTTATCAGCAAGAGATTCTAAGCATCTGCATGCTACCCATACCATGAAAATCAAGAAGGCTTAAGGCTCATCCTTTAACCAGTTAAAAAGCTCCTCTCACCCTACATGGCACAAGGTTCACATCAAAGCACTACTAAGCTCCAAATGGATCTGGGGCTTCAGCTGTTTTGTCTTAGGTAACAATCTCAGACTGTTTCTCCTGTTGACTTCTGAACAGTAATTTTTAATCCTTCCTCTCTTGAGGAAAGGCCTATTTGGTGTGTTTTTTCCAAGTCTCATCAATGCTGAAGTTCACACCAATTTAATCCAGAACAGATACAGCTTCCACAGCTATTGCACTTAATATGCATTAGTACATTAAAAACTCTAGAGCTAGTGGGACATTTATTCTACACCTATACTACAAAAAAACATTAGAGGCAGGCAGTAGAAGCAGCTTCTTCAGCACACATGCTCCCAATTTAGCTCTCAAAAATTGCTAACCTTGGTGCATCACAGCAGGAAGCTTAATTTAGGAACAAATTCAGCCTTTGTGTTTTGCAATGTTTTGATCTGCTGGCATTCAGTGTTACACAGCATGATGACCCAGGCAGAGCTCTGCTGACCCTCAAACTCAGAAGGATGATTTGGAGGGCACAGTTAGATCCAGTGTACTCATAGTTCACTCAAGATTAGTGGCTAGAAACCCAGCAGGTTTCCTTTAGCTCAAAACCAACTGTTCTGTGAATAGCATTAGTAGTCTCTGTTTCAGAGCCAGCTGGTTGCAAAGCCAGCTTTCCATTAGTTCTTCTTTAAGATCAAGAAGATTTTTTTTTTACTCTAAAGCTAGCATACTGCAGTAAACAAGATAAAAGTAGAGGCCTATTATACTATTAATCCTTAATTTCAGAACAGGTATTTCTTAGGCTTTAACAGAACATCTTGCATGTAACTATTAACCCTCAGTTTCACGAGCTCCTGTGGAGAAGATTGCATGGCAAGTACAATACTCACTTTGTCACAAAAGCAGAAAGAACTGGGGCCAGAGACTTCGGGAAATAATCTTGCTGGACCATATGATTCAGGGTCATAAGAATACCATAGAGGCTTGGGGCAACTTTGACCTTCTCTTCACTCTGAGAAAAGGACAAGAAGATGAAGTCAGACATCAGAAAAATCACTATTTTATCTAATCCACTGTAGTTCACAGAGGCAATAAATTTTGTTGAAAGTGCTTTTCTTTCTGCAGGAAAGAAAAGATTGTCACTAAATCGTGCAGTGTTTCTCAAGACAAAGAGAATTCCACAGCCTCCTAGCACCATCATCTGAAATAAAGCAGCATCAAGAACATTATATTACTTATCAAGGGGCAGCAGCCATAATTGCAAAAGGAAAGTAGTGACCTTGCAAGTGAAACTACAAAAACCTTCTGAGGCCCCGAGTGTTCGCTTAAGCAATTCCAGACTTAAAGAATTCAGCTGCCTTCACTAAAATAATTTCTTTTGTATTATTCTGTAGCTCCTTTTTATACCATCTACTGTTCTTTGTCAGGCTTCCTCCAGAACTCCATGCAGTATTCCCAGAACTGGTCTCACAGTCACATACAAGATAAAGCTAATCCCACTGTTTACATGATAGACAAGTTACTCCTGCTCCTAATGTGATGCTAACCTACATGTCCCATCTCTTACATTGTTTGCATTTATTTCTCCACTGCCATTTCAACTAAAGTCCTTCAATCTACAGACATTCTATAGGCCTAACTAAACCTGTATTCCTACATGTATGATCATGAGTTCATTCCAGAATAACCACTGCTCAAGTGCTTCCAGCTATATGGGACAAAATTATGGAAGATGCTTCCCCTCCACATATGCTTAATCCATGAGGAGTCTTCTATATTAGAAGGCAATCGGTTGGCTAACCCTCAAGGGCTTCATCAATGCCTCTTCCTGGCCTGAAAGCTCTTCAGGAGCACAAGTCTATGCTTTGTGCCTTATACATATTTGCTATTTTCTGTAAGAGGGAGTTGGTAGTCCCCAAGACAGGCACTGAGCAAAAAAAGCTCTCTGGTTCTATTTACCCCTCTGAGAAACGGGAAGCTTCAGCACTGATCCATTCTCAGCTTCTAGGTCTGAAGGCAGTGAGAAACACTAGCCCTTGCAGCACAAATAGGCAGAAGTGCTTAAGTTTGCAGACAGAACCTCTCCCCAGTCATCTCACTGAAAGTGAAGATGCAGGTATTCTAATTTCCATTAATTCAACTTTCCTGATGCCCATCTTTTCTCACAAGAAAGTTATTCCCTGTAATTACACATTTAACACTAGTATTTGGCAATATACTCCAAAGCATGAAGTTGAATGCTGCTGATCTAGCATGAGTAGTTGGGATACATGTTTTTGAGTCATGCTACTAAGAGATGTCCTAAAGTCACATTAGTAACATAATAGATTAACTCCTGGATATGGCTTTTTATAGACACTGTAGTCCACAACAGCACTATTTCCTTACCTGACCCTTCCTTCCTCTAAGGGAAGACTAAGGATGCACAGGACATTAAGCAGAAGAGGTACAAAGAGTTAGCATCATCATAATGTAACCTTGCAATCTGCAATTTCTGTTGGACCTGCAGACTTCCATTGTCCCTGGGCATCAGGCATGCATAGGTACCCAGCTGCTTCCACGGCAATGTAACTACCCAAAACCCAACCAGCCTGGTCTTCAACAGCCTAAACATATCATAACTTAACTCTTTGCTGCTTCCTCACCTTAAGTAATCCCATGTGGACCAAGAGGCTTGTGACAAATGCATCTGAATTAAATGTGACAGAAGTGAAGGCTTTTTTCATCAAGGCATCTAAAATGAAACAAGCATATTAAGCAATAGAAAAAGGGATGCTGTAACAGATTTTAAGATTGAGATTGATCATACAGGATCTCAGGGAGCATCATCTGTTTTGGGATGCAGTACCCATTAACATACAGTTGTCTCTCAGGGAGCAGGTATAATCTTTGAAACACTGAGATAAGTAAAACCCAGCCTTTTAAGTATAAGGTCCAATACAAAGGAAGAACAACCCAAACACCCCCCCAAAAAAAGCACAACAAAACCCCCAAAATTCCCACACTGCCAAGCTTCAAATGCTATTCGACCTCAGTCTTCTGCACCATAACATGCTCTCCTCAATGCATTTGAACATGCATGCTATGTGCAGGCATATAAATATGATCAGATGAAATAGAGCATCAAATTAGAAGTGTGACATTTTAAAGGCCAGCAAGAATTCACCTTTCATTTGAAACCAAAGGGAATGAGAACACAATGAGAAAAGTTTCTTTAGCTGTTCTCTGGGCTCCCTCAGGACCAATATTCTGCCACAAGCTATGGGCAAACCAGTGCTTTAGCCTCTCATGTCTACAAGGTAGGCAAGGCACTTCTTTTGACCTATGACTGTTCTGGTTTCTTGGAACAGGCAGAACCTATTAGAGCAGCTGTAGAACAGTGTCAGACATTAACCAGGGACCTCAAGGTCAGCTTATGCTTACTTTCCTGGAAGGAAAGTAATTCCCAGGTTCTACATTTCCCTAAGGGGTAAGAGTAGTAAGGAACAGCTATTGAAATAAATGCATTTACAAGCACAATTCAGACAACAGGAATATGCTGTGCTCCATTTTTTGGGACAACTCAATGAGCATGAGCCAAGGCCAGCACTGGCTTAATGACATGCCAACTGACTATTTCTGGCTGATTGGAACCATAGCCAACTGTAGAAAACACATTGTGACAGACAACAGCTAACAGTTTCACAATGACTATATACTCCAAATTAGAGAAGTGCACATTTGTTAGCATTAAATCACTAAATAGTCTTGAAAGTAGTTGATCCAGTTCTTTTGCACAGTATCATCACATAGCTCATGTATGAGAGAACTGCCAGGGGATTTGAAAAAGATGAAAGTCAATGGTCAGGTGCCTAGGAGCACTTGGAAATTCCCATTTCCAAGTGAAAACATAAAGGGGATACTGTTAGCATACGGGGAAATGACCTAAGCCAAATCACTGCTCCACAATATACAGTCCTTTGTCTGTACATTAGCTTCTGTGCCTTGTTTCATGTTGCAAGTATCTGCTTCCTGAAGAAACTAAAAATGTTTCAGACTGATAAAAAGACTTAAGAGGCCTCTCTTCACAGTCTCTTGATACTACATTGGTGAGGCTACTCTGTATAAAATACTCCAAGTAAGCAGCCTTGAAAAAGTAACTCCCTTTGGAACACAGAATGACTGTCTATTGACAGCCTAGCATCAAGGAGATGAAGGGCAACACAGGTACAATAACAGCAACTACAACAGACACTGATCAAGTTTTAGAAGCACAAGATATGCTAAGTTCAGAATTAACCTCTACTTTCACTCCACACAATGGCATGGCACAGCTTGGTACTTTGTTATCTGGGTTTCTTGCTGCCAGGGACAAAACAGCCCAATGGCCTGGCCCACAGGGCCCTGTTAATCACACTGGTGTCCTTGACACTGAAGCAGATCACACCATGAAATGAAGAAATGCCCAGTCACCTGTTGTTTCATGCACTGCTGTTTTCACTGGGGCTTCATCTTTGAAAACTGATGATATCCTTAGGAGAGTTGTAACTACTTTTTCTACATCAGATGTATCTGTCTGAAAGACAAAAAACCAGACCATTCAGTACACTGCTCACCAGCTACAGAAAACAGGTCTCCAATAAGGCTGTGACAAGAATTACAGCCTTCAGCTGATTGACATCAGTTTTGCCTTTGCCATATCACAAGGCATAAAACACAACAAAATTACTCTAGGTAGAAGCTCTGGTGCCATTATAAGCATTAACTGCATCCTGTGCTTCCATTAGCTTCCTTGGGATCACTGGGGAGAACATGCAAATCGCCTACCTGCTGAGCTATCAGCACAGAGCACTTTGGTCCTAGTCGCAGCAACTTCTCTGGTGATGGGAAAGCAAGGAATGTGGCAACATCCACAGGAGGAGATGGCACTGGAGTTGGATCCTGGAACAGGCAGAGTCCATCAATTTACTCTTCAAAGTAAATAAATTAGTTCAGCAGCAAAGGCACATAGGACAGGTCAGGACACAGGTACACCAGGTCAGGATTTGTTCTATTTGAAAATTATTCGAGGCTGGAATGAGCCCAGAGTTGAAAGAGCCAAAATATGCTAGACCAACTGCATGGCATTGCACATACAAGGTACCCACTGTTTTCTGAACATGGGAAGACTTCTTCTACCCATGTTTGTTATGACCACTACCCAGCCTTTCCCTCCATGCACGGGTGCACATGTTCACTTTAACAAAGCATGTTTCCAATTCACCTACTGCCTTTATGTTATCTCCCTGTTACTACATTGGCAGTCCACACAGGAACACTAACACCTCCCAGCACTCCAAGTTCAGATTCACTCCAGATCACATTTCCTCCTTTAATTTCCTCCAGCTGAAGAAACAGGAATGCATTTGGAAGCAAGCTTACCTGTGAATCAATTATCTTCTTAGGAGTGAGTGACTCCTGTTCTCCCTGTCCTCTCTCCTTCAGCTGTTGCTGTTCTTCTTCCTCTTCCTCTTCATCTTCCTCCTCCTCCTCCTCTTCATCATCTTCCTCCTCCCCTTCATCATCACTAAGGTTTGAGAGTTACATGTTACATTACACACTTGCAATTCCTGTACACTGGAACTCAAAGCATCTTTTCAAGAGCAAAAAAAAAAGCAGCCTCCCCTGCAAGATATACTGCAGGTGGTACATATCCAGCTACAGACTGAGAAGACTCGGGCTTCAGTCACCCAGTTGACAATGGCAAGCAAAGAGCAAGAAATGCAGTCAATACCAAGTCCATCAACTAAAACAAGACACAAGGTTTAGCCTACTTATGGAATCCCTTGATTGTGCTCCACACTTCATGCTCAGTCCAACATCCACCTGGAATGTTACAGTTTTTGTCTTAAAACTGATAGGTGAATGAAAGTGTTTATAGCAATTTACATAAAATTTCCAATTTAAACTCTGGTATCTTGCCTACCTCAAAGATCCCAGCACAGTTCCCATATTGAAGCCTTCAAGAATCTCATGGAGTTGCTCACATCCCTCTTCTCCCAGGCAGTTACCTAGGTTGATAGAAGAGAGTAGACTTAACAGACGCACATAAGTTTGTCCTTGAGGACTTGCTGTGTATTCTTGTCTCTCTCATTTCTGAAATTGAGCCATTATCCTACACAATACCTTACAGGCAGCAAGGCAGACTTCTGTTATGAGAATCAAAGATGTTAAACCCATTTCAGCAGCATTACACAACAGTTGGAGACAAGCCAAGCCCCTAATTTTTACTTCCTGTAAAGTCATCCAAGTTCAGCAACTCTCAGATTTCCATTTCTTAAATGCTGACAATTGTAAGGCTAGATTGTGTGATACTGTCAATATTCTTCCTAGTAGTGTCTCATTAGGATCAGACTAGACATACTTTGATCCAGCAAACTTGCATACCATTGAGATCCAATTTCTCCAACTCTGTCTTATCTTCAACAGCCTCAGCAACTGTCAGAGCAGCATCTCGTTTGATCTCACAGAAGGACAAATTCAGTTCCTATGAAGCAGAAGAACATTGATAAGAAAATTGATAAGAGAATCAGTAATAGCTTTAAACTGAAAGGGGTATATTTAGTTATTAGGAAGAAGCTTTGTACTATGAGGGTGATGAGACTGCAACAGGTTGCCCAGAGAAGCTGTGGCTGCTCTATCCCTGGACTTGTTTAAAGTCAGGCTGGATAGGGCTTTGTGTAACCTGGTCTAGTGGAAGGTGTCCCTGCCCATAAGCGGGGGCGGGGTGGAACTAGATGAGCTTTAAGGTCCCTTCCAACCCACTGTTTTATGATGTTTGCAGAATTCTTAACATCTATCATCCCCATAAGCTTCATGCACTCACAAGAGCTCTGGAAAGACTTATTTGAACACAATCTTAGTAAAAAAAGTATTTTTAATTGGAAATAATACGTGACATACCCCCTACTTCATATACCTAAAAGGGGCATTTTGATACAGACTATTGTTAAAAGTAGCACTACTGAAGGTAACTACTCCACTAAAATAGCCACAGAGACTACACTATTCTGACTGATCACCTAAAAGGTAGACATTTCAGTCCTTAGCAACTAGCTGACTGGCAATCTTCACTTATTCAAGGGCCATGAGAGCATTCCAAAACTCGCACATCAGTAAGTCTTACTGAAGAAAGGTAAATACCATACAAAGTGGAATGCACATTTGCTTTTGGACACAGGTTAAACTTCAAAAGAAACTGTAAGTGGTACTACTACTGATAAACACAGCCAGAAGAGAAACAGTATGCACAGACTAATAAGAATAAAGTTATCCAGCAGCTAGACACCATCCCCCACCATTCCACACTGCACTTGATCCTTCGCTGAGAGGGCATTTAATATTAACAGCAAAAGGAAGCAGTCCTTGAACAGAATGAATCAGCTATGATTGCTTCATGCTGCCCTCCCTTAACCACTTCTCCTCTGGAAAACATGATTTAACTTCTAGCAGTTCATCGCAATACTCCCAGTAGAATCCTTAGTTAAGTTTTCCTGGGAGATTCAGACCAGTTCCAGTATAACCAAGAGAAGCCTGCGCAAGTGATGTAACACAAAGTACCTACTTCTTTCTGTACCACATTCATATATGTAAATATTAGCACTGAGCTGAAATTTTGTCTTTGACTAAGCCTGCAAGATAAGGCATTGTGTGTTCAGCATCTGTCCTGGTGCAGTTGTGACCCATGGCAGGTGTTTCTAGAGATCCTGGCTTACTTACATTACTGAATGGATTTAGGCTTGTTTAGAATGTTGTCAAATGAAAATACTGATGTAGGAGGCTCTGGTATTGCCAAAAAAGCTAAAAAAATTTGGACCTTTGATACATGTCCTAACAAAGAAAAAGGATTAACTGTGTGAGCTTTGAAATGCTGAAGCTGTTCATGAAGAGTAACATCTCAATCCTCACTCAAGACCTTCTGAGAGGTTCTAAAAAAAGCAGATACTTCCTTATTAGATTTCTTGAACAGCAACTTTGAGTTGAATCAAGAGCTTTAAAAACATCAAGCCGAGTCACTGGTACAACTCCATGTAGAATAGGCTTATCTGGATGAGATGATGCCACTGATTTACACTACAGCTTATGGCTTTTGAGTTGTAAGCACAGAGCCTGCACTGAAGTAAATCTCACTTTAAAATAATCAGTAGTGGTAGGAAAATGGACAGTAAGACACAGAAAGAGGCATTTTCTGAAGAGATTCAAAGCTGAACAGCAAGACTATAATACCTTTAATTTATGAAGCCCTTCTTTAACAGCATCAGCAATAGCAACAGCACCCTTCGAACGCACCAGGCAGTCTCCAAAGTTGATCGCTTCAATCTGCCGAAGTAGCTTCAGAGTCTGCATGACAGCACAAATTTGAAAGTACAGACACGCAAGTAAGTAAATGTCCTATCACTCCTGGAAGGTCATCTTTCCCAACACAGCACAGCATCAGGCTCCACCACCCAGAGGTGCTAAGGCTAGCCATATTTGGAGAAACAAACCCAAAGCCACTGCTTAGGACAACTCACCTCTGCCATGGCCACAGCTCCTTTCTCTGTGAAGGTGTTGTCATTCAAGTTTATAACCTTAAGCAGTGGGTTGATGGCAAAGGCCTGGGCCAGTGCTGTGATGCCAGGATGGTTAATTCCATTCTGTGGCATATGGACCTCTTCTAGGGTCCCAATGATCTGGGAAAGGATTGTGCATGAAAAAACTTGTCAGGAGACATATTTCAACTCAGGAGTAGAGCTCCACTCTTTAGGATTTGCTGAAAATTGTTTTCTTCCAACTCAGAACTCAGTTCTTCTACACAGTATTATTTACCAGCAATTGTGTCACAAATTTAAGTGAAACTGCAAGCTCGTAACAAGTGTCATATTAACACAAAGCCTTGATTTTAAGATTCACAAGTGGCATCCTCCTGGCACGCCTGCTCTAGATACCTTAAGACAGGAGCTCTTCACCCTTTGTTCAATAATACTGAACAGACCAAGCAGCACCACTGGATACAGTATTTTTCTAATTAAGATCTACATTTTACCTTGACTGCAGAAGCAAACCCATAAAAAAAAAAATCAGTATGAACACTGTTCATGGTCTAAACAGCACGTCACAAAACACAATAATGAATTCCTTACAAATCACTTATGCATATGTATCTAGGTAATCTTCTTTTTGCCATGATTACTGGGTAGTCAGTCACATCCAGACAGCTCTTTACAAAAAAAAAAAAACCAACCTATAACTTGCAATATCATTAATATATCTGACAATATGCATTACAATTCAGAAATCACTTTTAGCACCAATGGAGGAAAGAAGGAATCAGGTGCCCACAACTACAATGACTTCTCTTCCCCCAATAACAGGCAAATTGGCCAGTGACACCTAGAAAAAGCTAAGGAAGCATTTAGAGCCCTTAAAGGAGGATGCTAGTGAAAATACTAGGTTAATTCTGCCAGATGATTGAGCAACTAGGCAAAAAAAGCACTCAAGAGGTCAGCTGGTTCACCTAACCCCAGATAAACTCCATTAGCACAGAGTGAGAAGGAATAGGGCTATTATTAAATTACTCAGGAGATACCTATTTCTCCCTCAAGTAACTGCTTTACACAGCCACTAATTGTGTGTTTGGAAACTTGGGTCACAGAAACATTCAGCCATCAATTCTACCAGCACTTGTTGAAGACTCCAGTTTCAGCAAGCAACATTGCTACTTTAGTGAAACAACCAGCCACTGCGTCAAAGCTGAAGCAAGCTTTGTGTACATTACCTTTAACATTAGCCCTTAAGCACACCTTGCTCCTATTTGCTGTTAAGAAGCTCTGGTTTGGTACTTACCCCAAAAGCTTCAGCCAGAGCAGTGGCACCATCATTCTCCAGACGATTTCTGCCAGCCACAAATATTTTCAAAGCAAGAGGCTTGCCCTGGGTACTTGATTTCCTGTGACACTCCTTCAGAGCACCTGCCAGTATCTAAAGGTAAAACAAGCAGTTTATACTACCTCAGCATCCCATTCTGAAGGAATCCAAACGTGTTTTGAGGACTCAGCTCTCAAGAAGCACTTTTGTCACCACTGATATGTACCTGATCTACATATAATAGGGTATACAATAAAACTGTCTAACTACAACACTTTCACAGTACAGTCTTCAGTAAGATGCAATAACTTTGCAAAACTAGAAGACAGTGACCCCACTAAGAACATTTGATTCTTAAACAGGTAAACATATAGATCTTAATGATAGCAGTCCCAGTTTTCTGGGTCTTCCAACAGGCATCCCTTCAGCGCTAGGGTTGGTAACACTGTATTCTCAAATCCAAGTCTACTAGCCCCCTTGACAGGGAAACTAATTTTTAGGATAAAAAAAACACAAACCACTTTTTCCTATGGTCGATAAAAATAGATGAGCTTTCCATAGTTCAGAAATTTATCCAGGAAAGCACAGAGAAGGAAGAGATCTGGAGACTGAAGAAAGGGGCAAACCACAATCTTGAGTTTAAAAGGAAATGGGAAGTCCTGCAAATGGGGAGGAATAACACCATAAACCAGCATAAGCTGGGGGTAAAACAACTTGACAGAGAAGAACTTAAGGGTCCTAGTAGATAAGAAGTTGACTGCAGGCTAGCAAGATACGCTTGCAGAGGAGAAAATCTACTGGGCCTTAAGGAAGAATATTGTCATCAGGTCAAGGGAAGTCTCTGCTCTGCCCTCTGAAATGCATCCAAGTACTCCTTGCATCAGGCTCCTACAGGAACATACTTGGGTGAGTGCAGCAAAGGGTCCTGAGGATGATTAAGAAATTGAAGAATTTTACATACTGGGAGAGTGCTGAGAGATGGAATTAAAACTGGAGAAGAGAAGGCTCTGGGGGAGATCTTATCCATGTGTAAGAACATGGCAGAGTAACAGGATGTTATTCACAAGATAAGGTGGCCTAAAGGGAAAGCCAGACAAATGTACACAAACTGATGCAGAGAAAATTCCATTCAAAACCCACAAAAAAGTGGTTTGGGGTTTTTTAAACCCTGGGATAGACTATCCACAGAGCTTATCAAAATTCTCCATCCTTTGAGATAATCAAAACCTGACTAGACATTCCTCAGCAACCTGGTCAAGTTGCCCTGAGCAGGGGAGTTGAACTAGACAATTACCAAAGATCCCTTCCAACCTCAAGCATTCTGTGATTCTGTGCAGGGCAGTATGAAGCCAAGTCCTGGCTCCAACCTCATTCCCAAAAAGTAGGGAATCCTTACCTTGCCACCACCAATGCCCATGCCACAGTTGTTGAGCTTGAGCTCCCGTAAGGTGTAGCATGCAGGGCTTTTCAGCAGTGCCTCAAAGCCACGCACTCCATCTGGCCCAAAGGCATTGTCACTCAGGTCCAGCTCCACCAGCTGGGCTCCAGCAGCAATGAGTGCATCCCCCAAAGCAATCTGCAAGGAAACAGATGGCAGTGGGTGGGAGTGGATCGACTCTTAGTGATAGCATCACTGCAGTGGCTAGGTATGACAGGGATGCTGCAAAAAATTTCCACTGTGACGTCTTTCGGCAAAACTGCACAGGGAAATAAAACTTTACAGCTAAAGCCAGAGAAGAAGTTGTGCAAATTAAGCTGAAGATAATCATAAGGAAGTTACCAAGAAGTTCTCCCACTCCTTTAGGTCAAACACATCTTTCAAAGTGATTTTCCCCCTCTACACTGCTAGAAGAAATACTGTTTCCATTCTGTTGAGTTTATCATTTTTTGTTTCACAGGACTCAAGGAGGCAGGGAGCTCCGTAATGCTCTTGGAAGAAATGGCCACATGCTTTAGAAAGCTTAACTCCTGTTCTATCACAAGGATATTTTCCCAAGTGACAAGCTCCTTCACCAGCATGGACTTGCATTTGACCTTTCATTAACACTTTTCCACCTTATACAGAGGGAGCAAAAAATAGGAATAATTCATCTAGTGAGACACTCAGTGTTATCAGCATAAAGATCAGCTCTGCTGAAAAAAATATACTCCCACAAAAAGCATTACAGGTGAAAAAAGTTATTAGGCAGCAGTCTCAGATCTAGTTTTTACTTACCAAAGCAGGAGGGATCTCAGACCTTAGTCTCCCTGTGAACATGTCACTCCAATGGCACCTCTAAAATAATAAACATACAGGTAGAAACGATTAAAATATTTAGGACAATCACTAGTTATACAGAGGTTTACACATACAAGCTGCATTACATCACTGGGACATCTTAACACTGTATATGCCTTCCCTTGGGCTTGTCATTTGTTTGTATTAAAGAGCTACAACAACCAATGTTACAATTACTTCACCTGTAAGGACATAAACCCACTGAAAAGCACATTATAAATTAACACTATATAAGAATTCTTGCTTTTAATTCAAGCTGGAATGCTTTTCTGCTGAGATGATTACCACAGGAAAAAAAAAAAGCAGCAGGAAACTGAAGGATACATTAAGAATGCAGATTTTGCTAAGGTATGAAGCTCAAAAATCTGAATTTGCTTGAAAAGCCACACTTGGATGATTAATGTGAATCAGTGCTTCCTACTCCTCTCCTGCAAAGGACAGTGCCTCTAGCAGCACAGCATTATAGAATCAGAATAGTAGGGGTTGGAAAGGACCTTAAGATCACCTAGTTCCAACCTCCCTGCCATAGGCAGGGACACTACACTCTAAGACTCAGTCCTACCTGGCTTTTAACACTGCCAGGGATGGAGCATTCAATGCTTTTTTGGACAAATTGTTCCAGCGCCTAGCATTAGGCTAGAACACAGCAGAGAAACTGTATCTTGAACACAAAAACCTCATGGCGCACTTCATTATATTTTCCCAATTCAGGCATTCCCTGAAGACTTATGTTTCAGACAATCTGATCATTCCTAAGATTATATGACCCAGCTTTTCCATTAGAACTTCAGTTTTGTTGTCAGTCATTTGTTCACAGATCCTGCCTCTGCAGTGAGGCTCTTCCTTGCACAGCCTTCCAGTTTTAAAATTGGAAGCCCACCGAATAGGAACAGTTAGGAATGCAGAAAGCGTTCCCATTATCCTGAAGTCCCCGTGTTCTGCCATATTTTCATCTGGTTGTTCTTCCTAATGGAAGAACCACCAAGCAAGTTCTGGGCCTTACTCAAGACAGGCTACTGGAGGGAAAGCATAGCTAGGCCTTCAGTATTTCTACATTACTTCCCCTTCAATTAGCCCCCACTTGAGGATCTCACCTTGAGCTCCGATTTCTTCTCCAAGGCTTTGGCAATGACCTTTGCTGCCTCCACACCCACTGTGTTGCCTTCCAGGCGCAACGCCTCGAGGCCATCAAACTCCTCAATTTGCTTGATAACTCCTTCAGCTGCAAAAAGCAGATAGTCTAGTAGGCCTTTCAGCTATCACCTTGGGTACCACAGTAACACTTTGATGCAGAAATACTCACTCAACTCTACCCTTATGGAAAACAGCTGAACAGTATTTAAAAGAATCCTGAAACAGCAATGGGAACAGACCTAAAGCATCAGGTCACTAAAGAGAACATTCTCCATTCCTCATCCTGCCTTTTCATACTTTATTTCTAGTTTTATTCTCAGACAGTCATCCTCCTATTTGCAAGAGTAAGTTTCCTGACTTCCTAAGAAAGATTCCTCTGCTGTTCAGTAGATGGTTTAGGAGGTAGAGTGCATGTGACTACAAGGATATAAGGACTAAGATAAAAGCTGATGGGAACTGGTGCCACATCACGGGGAAGAAGTTCCCACTGACTGGTAAAAGTAGATGCCTGTTTAGCAAACATGTCAGGGTGGAGCAATTTACCTTCACAGGAATCCTATGCAAGACACAGGAGCAGGCTACAGACCCTTTCTTGTCAGTTATTCTGACGTTCCAAAGCCTTTACCCATAGTTCAGTGGCTTTGCACTACTAAAATAGCATACAAAAAAAAGCATCACCTCTGGAATCAGTAGAAGTATGCACTACACAAAACTTTTCTGAAGAACATGCTGTTTCTTGGTGTGGCAGAAATGTTGATCTAAATATATACATATTCTCCAGGCATTTGCTACATTAGCAGCTACTGGAAGACATTTTTAATTGAGAAATATATACCAGCAAGACAGAATCCAGGAAAAAAGTGTCAGGAGTCTAACAAATTAATCACAATTTGGGAAGACACTGGACCATTGCAATAGACTGTCAGCCATTCCCTCTGTGCAGGTCTTTAAGGCATATACTTGTCAGTAAGTAAGCTGTCATTCACTTGCATATTGTTTTTGAAAGTAGTGACTTCTAATGCCCAGTGACTGCCAAAAGGACTTGGAGAGAACACCAAGGAAACAAGAATTATACACCAGGGAGGTAAAACCACAGTTCTACCATCTGTAGCACTACCAGGGCACAAGGGAAGGAAGCATCTCTATCAGAAGCAGCTGTAGCTGAATGACCCCTGCATCACAGCTAATACAACAACTTGTCCCTGCAGAATTAGCAGGCAGTTTCCCACAAGACTTTAGAATTTCAGGGAGACACTTCCCAGACACAAGGGTATTTTCTCTTACCATCTTCAGCTGTATTGAGTTTAAGGCTCTGGCCTTTGAAGCTCAACTGTCCACCACCCACTTTTGTTTTGGCAAGTGACTCCACAAGCTTAGTGATGTCTTCTGATGCCATTTTTCTGCTTTTCCAAGTGTTGAGCTGTCAATTCAAACAAACTGTCAACATCAGAAAGCAAACTACAATCCATAATCATTAGCATTTTCCCCATAGCTTGCTTATTACAGCTAGGTAGGCTAGATTAATATTCCAAAGCCAGTCAGATGGTGTTGATTCTTCCAGTACTGACAGGACTTGGTTTGTGATGGAGTTGTAATACTTCATAAATAATCAGTAGCTAAAACTATGAGTTAAGGCCACATTAAGACATTCCTCTGGGCAATACTTTTGCCATTATACTATTCCTCCCTCCCCAAATCCCAATCTTTAGTTACACCTGCTGCACATCTGCCCTGTCCTCCAAAGCAAGCCAGAGTAAAAACAACTGTTTGTACTGTCCAGTGACTTTCCAGTACTGCCCTTGTCAGCACAGTTCTAGAACTGCTGTGTTGCTGAAAGCATTATGTGTTGCATCCAAAACTCTTCCAGGTTTGTGGGCTCTCTTTCTTTGCCGATATCCCATACATGAATCATCACACATTAAGCAGAATGGTCTTACAATGATGAAGGATAAGCAAATATTTTGCCTTGAAGCAAGTTTTGCTAGCCTTGCCTAGTAGAATCTGCATACCATTATTTGATGAATATCAATCACTGCATAAAGTAACCAGCCTCCATTCATTCAGCAGGATAAACACAGCATGTTTCTTATCCCAGCACCTCTGCTGGGATAAAAGATTACACACTAGTGCTTAGAAGCAACACATTTATAAAACAGATTTCAGGCATCAGAAGGGATGCTCATTCCTACGACAGAAAACTGGTTCCTGTCCATTCTGTCTGACTTATAAATGGCCCCACACCCTTGCAGCTCTTTGAGCTCAACAGTGCTGATTTTAAAACACCCCCTAAACAGAAGCTGCATATTCATGCTCTCCTCCTGATACCTAGTTGTGAAGCCTTCAGCTTCACAGAGCACAACTTCCCTCCAGCTTTCATTAACTCCAGTTTTGCTTTTGAAGCTGGGAAAAAGATCTCTAAGGTTATCAACATCACTTTTCTAGGATGACTGTCACATCAGGTAAGTGCTGCCAGTAGAAAGATGCTCACACAACTTACTCCACTCTTACCACACAGACACCAGACTGATGGACATTTCCAACATCTGCCAATCCAACACCAAGAAGGAATAAAGAGGACATCCTGTCACCCATGAAGGCTTTACCAAACAGGAACAAAAGCTAGGATCCAAAGAATTCAGACTATTCACCTAGCTCAATTATTAACTTTACTTTTAAATACCTCATCACTCTACTGTTTAAAAAATTAGTTCTGTTCTACTTTGATGCTCTTCAATACTCTACAGGTGTACTCAAACCCTTCGCTTCTCTTTCTCTTAAATCCCCTTTTACTTTCTTCAACTTACACACAGGCTACTGCCCAATTTCAACATACAAATTCATCATCACATCCTGAAGCACGTTTTACTGCAAGCACACCAACCAAACCCAATTGTCAACCTACCAGAAGTCTCTTGAACTGCTACGTCTTCCAGAGAAAAAGCTTTAAAGAGATCATAATAAAAACTGAAGAGTTAGTACATTTAGCAACTACACCCACAGCCTGGAAACACCTGGAGAGAGGTTTTCTTGTTACTTAAAGAATCTATGAAACTGTATGTTGCCCGGTGATCTAAAAAAAATAAACCAAAACGGGAACTGCTTTAATTACAACGCTTTATCCACGCCATCAGACCACACAGCGGCAACCTGCTGCGCTACCCTAGGCGGAGGCCTGCCCTGCTCCCGGGCCACCCAGGAGCGCTAGGTGACAGCCCAAGGTTACCCTCCAGCCGGCCTTGGACCGGTCTCCAGCGCAGCGAGCCCCGGTGACGGCTGAGGGTTCCCCATTTCCGCCGAGAACGCTGCCGAGTGCCAGCCACGCTGCCCCACCCCGACACCCTCCATTAACGGGCCCCGCCGCCCCGGGCCGCGGCACCGATGCCCCCCATCCCCGCGGCGGCAGGCGGCTGCCGCCTCACCTAGCGATGCGGCTGCCGCCCAGCCGGGAAGGGCGGTAGAGTGTCGCCGGCACAAGCGCTCACGCCGCCGCTGCCGCCGGGGACGATGGGTGAGGGGCGGGTGGCGGAGCTGCTGGAGGAGCCCTCCCCCGGCCCCGCGCTGGGTGCTGACGGCCGGCGTGCCGCAGCCGGCTGGCCGGCTACGTGTGGGCGGGGCTACGCGGCCTGCGCGGCGGCGTCAGCCGTGGGGCACGCTCTCCGGCAGCTGCTGGATTGGCTGGGAGGATGTGGCTAGAGGAGCGCTGAGTTGCTCTGTAGGCTTACAAGATACCCACAGATGAGATACGAGTGCCTTTTCCTGTGAAGCCTTATTTAGATACTGTCTCTGCAGATCTCATACTTAGGTGTTACTGTCGAGCCTTTTCGCTAAGGAAAGCGTTTCATCCAGCAGTGCGCAGTCATTCCTACTTCAGGATGCAAAAAGCACCGGTTTGCTTGACCGCTTAGTGTGTATGTTGTGTGTGACATTTTCTTCTTGAGTGTAGAGATAAAAGTACATCTGGTGGGACAAGGTGAGCTGTGTATAAACCTTCCTACTGCAGTGTGATTGCACAGGTCCTCTTGATGCGCGGATTGACTCCACAACTCGTTAAAAGTTGTAAAGTAGGTATGCTTTTTATTCAGCGCTGAGACGCACGGGGATAATTCCTCAAAGTCATGCGTACCTCAGTGTTGTTTCCCTCTACATTTATTCTCTAAAGTTATATATATTCATAAGGTTGCACAATACGCCTATACATATTCATGTCCTATCCCCGCTTAGTATTATGATGAGCCAGAAGGTCCTCTGCGCCTGCGCAGTGCCCCCTCTGGTCATGGGCAGGGGTCTCAAGATGAAGTAAATGAGTCTTCCTTCTCTGGGTAGGGGTCTTCAAGATGAAGTAAATGAGTCTTCCTCTTCTTGCACTTTTCACCTTTTTAGTCTTTATGTGTGGCCTTAGAATTTGGTCAGTGTCCCAGCCGTAAATCCTCTACTTCTCCCCTTTATCAGTAGAGTTTGATCAGTGTCCCAGCCGTAAATCCTCTGCTTCTCCCCTTTATCAGTAGATTCAGGTGTCTGCTTATTAACAGGACCGGAGGTCTCTGTTCTGCTTAGCAGGCATTTACAACAGATAGTCCTTTTGTTTAAACAAATTCCTCTAACCCCCTTGTACAACCCCCCTGTACTACCCCCCTGTACAATGGTCAACCCTCTGTATCACTCTTGAGGCAATCCCTTCTCTGAGTTCCAATCTACAGGCACTGATACAGGTACATTTCATGTGACAAGTACAGATACCTGGTGAGATCGGTATTGAGGTCAGTAATAGCCTGGAATTATTCTGCCATTTAGTCCCAAGACATTACAAGAGGCATTTTTATTCTCTCACAATTCTCCAAACTGTAGTTTTAAGAAATGATATCAAATGCTTATATGGACCCAACACAAGATTGTCAGTAATTGGCAATGCTGAGTGATGTGGGAGACAGCATTAGGTTGAATGGCATGACAGACCACCTTTGTTCAAGGGGAATACAAAAAGCAATGAAGTTTCTTTATGGAGCATGACAGCTGAGAGAATAAAAGCCATAAGTTGGTACAGCAACCAGATGGAAAACCTGAACAAAATTTAGCTCAGAAATAATAAGAGGAGTTTCTCTTGCAACTGAAGAAAACCAAGAAGATGAGGACTAGATTATGACTGTATGTGAGAAGCATAAAGCTGCGAGAAAACTCAGAGCAGATGAGGGAATAAATGACTGTAACCTCAAGAAGGAGCTTGAACTTTGAAAATATAAGCAAGGAATTTGGCATTTGTTATTAGCTCTTCACAATATTTATCAATAAACAGAATCATATAAAATATATCTGATTCCCTTCTCTGTTGTCCTCCCAAATACTAATACTAGCATGGGCTGGAGGGGCGAGAATAAAGTCTTTAACTGTGGATGCAGTTGGAATTTGAATGAATTTGTGCTGTGCTAGTGTAGCATAGATCCATACATTTATTCTCCTTACAGGAATAGCTTTACAAATCGAAGTAATTTTTATGATAGAGTATTTTGTAGCAGGGATTGGTGGTGTTCTGGCTCTGCTGACTTCCCACACACAAGACCTCAATAACCACTCTTGCAAATGGTGAAAATCTTTGTGCTAACCACTGAGGAAAGATGTTTCATGAGAGGAGCTGTATGTGCTGGACCATGACCTTGCAGGACATCTCTCAGTCTTACAGGGCAAAGGATATAGGACTGGTGGGAAGCATAACATGACATTGAATTAGGAAATGCAGTCTTGTAAATGAATGCTCTTGAATTAAACACTACTGCTTTTTCCAGTATAACTCTTAATTGTGTGTAGACTTTTGGCTTGCTCCTCTTTTTCCCAGCAACTCCTAAGCCCTCTTCTTTCCCCCAGCTGTGATGTCTCACCTTTCAGAGGTGTGCAGAGTTGTAGGTGTCTTGGGCTCTGTGAATCATTTGGTACATAAGGGCTCTGTGAGGCTGCCCTCCCCATGTGGTCTGGGGTATATCAGGTCTCACCCATGTTTACCTGGTCCAAAGACACCCCTTGACAGGGCCCACCATTTCATGTATATTTTGCTCAGCAGCTTCTACAGCAGAGGCCCAGCTTGCTTAGACTCTACTCATTGTTCAGCTTGTTCAGCCTGGAGAAGGGAGGGCTCAGGGGAGACCTAACAGCAGCCTTCCAGTAGCTAAAGGGCACCTGCAAGAAATCTGGAGAGGGACTTTTTACAAGGGCAGGTAGTGACAGGACAAGTGGGAATGGCTTTTAGCTGAAACAGGGGAGACTGAGATTGAATATTAGGAAGAAATTCTTTACTATGAGGGTGGTGAGGCACTGGCACAGCTTGCCCCGAGAAGCTGTGGCTGCCCCATCCCTGGCAGTGTTCAAGGCCAGGTTGGATGGGGTTTGGAGCAACCTGGTCTAGAAGAAGGTGTCCCTGTCTGTGGCAGGGGGTGGAACTGGGTGAGCTTTAAGGTCCCTTCCAAACAAAGCCATTCTATGATTTTATTCATTATATATAATTCATGTCACAGGGTGTGTCTTGGTAGGCAGATCTTTATTGCCTAAATTGGAATTTAGCGCAATCTGAAAAACATGTACTGTCAGTTTTTAATGAACAAAAGTTTTCTGTGTTTTTTCTCATGTCAGAACAAGGTTATTGTAACACAACGGTTGCTTGTGTCAATCAATCTTTGGATCATAATATCTAAAAAATAAAAGCAATGTGATTATATATTGTGAAGAGCATAAGACAGTGCTCTCCAGTGTCATATGGTACATTATGCAATAATGTATATTCATAATTCATAAATTATCTTTTAATTGTGTTGACAGAGCTGACAGGAGCCAATCCTACTCAGTATAATAGCCTTCTCTTTTCTGATCAACTTTTAAAATATTAAACAAGTTTAGTACGCTTTCAGATGATATCTTCTACCTGCCTCTGAATCTTGTTGGCATTGCTTAGCTGCATAGCACAAAGCAACACTCTCTTGGGTCACTGTAAATACAAGAAGCAGGATGCCGAGGAGTAAACATGTCACTGATTACATTGGAAAAGGGGTAATAATTTAAACCAGTGTCAGTTTGGAGATGACAGACCTAACAGTAGACAGAACCCTTTAGGGAGAGAATAACCTATCCTACCAGGGAAGCTAAAACCCCCATGAAACTCGTTTCAGAGGTTTTTTTGAAGTTAATGGTAGTGCAGCTGGGCAGGGATGGATGAATCCTGGTCTAAGGCCATCAGTGGATGTCTGTCTTCACTACCATACCCCATGACACAACAATGTGCTGCTGGGTCCCCACTTCCCATCAGCAACTCATTCCTGGGGCTCTGCTGGCATGGGCTGCTGTGGGGATTCAGTGCACTTTCTGCAAATATTGAGGGATTTGGGATGAAAACAAGGTAAAAATCTGGTTCAAAGAAGTGCCTAAACTCATATATGTAAACATAGATATAAAAATCCATATGCATATACATATATATCATATACGTGTATTGTATAATACACAGTGGTATGTAATAAAAATGTTATATGCACACACACACGCTGCATATTCCTTTCCACCTAAAGATTTATGTTTGCAGAAGATCTTATTTACAGGGAACCCCTCAGCAGTGTGGGGTGGAATACATAAGGTCTGGCTGGAACAGATAATTGCTCTGCCATAAGTGATAGCTCTGGCCACCTTCCAGCAAACATATATGGGTGGGCAGCAGGGTCACTGCTTCACGTATGTTATAATCCCTTGGGGAGGGGGGTGTCTTGTAATTCAGTTCATTGCTGCGCTTCACATGCATGCAATCCCTCTGCAGAGGCAGCTTTGCTTTTTTCTGGGGTGTATATTGTACATCAGCAAAGACAACAGGAAGAAGAAAAATGTCGCATTAAAATTAAGAACGGAGCCTCGACTGCTTAAACACTTTCATTTTTGTATTTTTATTTTTTTTTAATATACCTTTTTAAAGCCTAATTCACCTTAAAGAATCTCAAAACCAACCACAAGGGCTGAATCTGTGAATTTTTGTAATGAAAGCGGGAGCCTCTAGGGCCCAGAGG